AAAGGATAGGCATCTACTTAGCAGATAAAATGTCATCATTCTCCAAAGAACTGTCTCCTACCGTCAGTCCTGACTCATCTGTTGTAACTGTGTTTTATAGCTGACAACACTTGGGTTTGAAGGGGTCATAGCTCACATGAAGTGGGGAACAGCAGCACTAGCCTTCTGGGAGGTTTTTTCCATTAAATTTTTTATTGAATGTAGAACAACAGCTTCAATATAAGAATTCAGGGTTTTCTTACAGGATTACAGATAAATGTTCTGTCTTTTTCCTGGTTATTTTGTCATGGTAATTTTGTCATGCACTGCATAGAGTTACCATGATTACTCAATACCTGATAATAGTGTTTTTTTCCTCATTGCTCTTGCTTTTCAGAATGTTTCTCTCCACTCATTTTATTGATATCTTCAAATGAGTTAAGTTACAGTTGCTTTATCTAATTGCAGGAACAAAATCATGTAGGTATGCACAGTGAAACCATGTTAGAGATAGAGATTGATTTTGGAGGAATTACACGTTCTGATAGTTCATATTATTATTTCCACTTGCCTTCGACTGATTTTGCCCTTCTGAAAAGAGTTCAACTTTCATTCTATAGGATTAATACATTTCCTGTTTTTCAGTTAATTTCTCTGGGCTTCTCAGAGCATTTCCTGTCATCTCTCATTAGCAACAAATATACATCCTCTTTAAATTATCTACTCAGAAATGTCATCGTGCTAGAGCTGAAATAGGAAAGTGTGGTAGTGACAGAAACTGTCACCAGAGGGAAGAGACAGCCAGTAGAACGGGAAACAAATCTAGGCCACTTATATATCATATACAGGTTGGATATCTAAAATACATAAAGAACTGTAAAATTCAAATGACAAAACCCAAGTCAACGTAATCAATAAGTAGACATGTTGTTAGGAATTTGAGGCAGCTGATCATATACCACCTATAGTCAAGAAGCAGAGAGACATGAATGCTGGTGTTCCATGTGCTTTCTCACTTGTCTGAGATGCTAGCCCACAGAATGGGGATGTCCACATTTAGCATGAGTCTTCCCACCTCAGCTAACCCATTCTAGGAGCACCCTCACAGACGTGCTCAGAACTTTGTCTGCCAGGTGAGTCCAGATCTTATCAGTTTGACAATATTAACCATCACAGAAGAGGACCAGCAAGAGAGGAGATGGGAAGATGAAGAGGGTCTTTAGGGAGGGGATAAACAAGCACAAAAATAGTTGCATGTATGTATGAAGATGCCATGGTCAATTACATTATTTCCAATGTTAAAGTAATTTTAAAAAAAAGCCAGCCAGTGCTATCCTATATTCCTTGCTGTGACTAGCTTTATTTTGTTCCTATTCTTTTATACTGGGGATCGAACCTAGGGCCTTGTAATTGTTAACTGAGCACTGTAACACTAAGCTACATTCCTAGCCTTTGTGTTTTTTTAAATACATCGAACTTCTCCAAATTAGCACCTTGCCTCAGCTGTTTCCTTTCCTGGTGATGCTCTGTCATGAAGGGTTATCTTGCTGCCATCTTCTTGTCATTTAGGTGTCAGCTTAAGCATAATGTCTCTAGACAGTCTTCCTGTACCAACCCAGGAAGGACTGTCTGGAGACATTGTGCTTATAACTTCTTCTAACTCATGACATTTTAAAAATAGATCTGATCATAGTGGTTTTTATGTAATAACATACTGATAAATCTCTCTAGTGTCTAGGAAACTCCAGTTTGTTAGATGTAAATGACAGTTGTTCCTTTTATCTCTTGTGAATTTGTCTTCATCTCTCTGATTTCTGATGTCACATCTGGCTACCATCTCCTCGATATAGTGCAGTCTAACCCTCCCAAGATGTCAGAGCTTCTCTGGCTTACAGGAAGAGATAGAACCTGATATGCAAAGCCCTAGTGAAGCAGCCCAGTCTTCCTGCCTGGAGTCTGATGTTGTCTGAACCTGGGAGGGGAGAACCCCACTATTCTCAGTGTCCCAGAGTGGGCAGGTTTGTTCCTCTCTCTAGGACAAACCACCTTAAGGAAACCTCCAGTGTCAGCAGCTGTGACTATTTGGGAGTAGCTCAGGGGCTACTTTATGTTTTCAGTTTGATGGGATTTAGAATCACCATGGAAACAAACCTCTGGGGATGGGTAAGGGGGCAGCTCCCAAGAAGTTTAACTGGCAGGGAAGACACACCTTGAATCGAGGCAGTGATTCCCATGGGCTGGGGCCTTGAACTGAGGAAAATGGAGGAAGTGAACTGAGCAACATCATGGTCTTTCTGTTTCTTGATGACAGGTCTGGTATGACCAGCTGCCTCATACTTCTGCTGCCAGGATTTCCTCACCATGATGGACTCACCCTCAGCTGTGAGTCAAAATAAACCCTCCTGCTTTTGGCGGGAATTTCATCATAGCAGTGAGACAAGTAACTAATACAGAGGTTCAGAGGAATTATAACAGAAACAGGGACATGGTCTCATAGTATGAGGATGTTGCCCTGTTCTTTCTGCCCACTCATTCCTACTTCATGTAGCTTCCTGACCACCCATTCCTACTTGCCTTTATTCTTCACAACAGATTCTCTAAGCTGCTGGCAGAATCTGATCTGCCTGCTTTCTGCTTGGATAACGGTAGCTTAAAGGGAGTTTCCTTTTCCTGTGGGTTTATCTAAAGGGAGAGATTTCTATTAGTCTATGTTGGGTCACATGTGCATCCCTGAACTGATTACTACAGTACAGAAATGAACCAGGACTCTGATTCTGGTCACACATGCTCCACTCTCATTCCCTTGCTGACTGACCACTATGGCTTTTTCCCATAGTTCTGGGGTTTGGATGCAAGAGAAATGAATGAATGCACAAGTGGAAAGTGTATGTCAAAGTTCCCCAAAGGCAAGTGTTCAATGTTAGAGTTGAAGACTTTTTTGTTATTTTCATATTCTTTGAACCATTCCATATATTAATTCTGAATTACATAGGAATATACTCAAGTAATAGTTGCAGTTTACATTTTGATATGCTTGTCTTCATTTTAGCACCTTTCATTTTTATGTTCATGCTGTGTTGAGGATTTGATGAAGAATATTTTGCTTTTTCATCTTTATTCAAATATTTGTCATTGTTATTATAGTTACAAAATGTTCAATGCATTTGTTAGCTTCCTGGAGGGATTGGTTCTGTATGGATCAAGTCTTGTGACCAATCCTTTAGTCACTAGGAACTCTTGAGACTCTCACAGGGTGGGTTGTTGGTATATGGTGTGATAGTGGCCTGTGTTGTGGAGCAGAACCATGTTATCATTCTCAGTTCTTAAATTCCATCCTCAGTACCAAATTACACAGGGAGATTGACATAAAATTTCTGATAAGATATTCAGAGAAACACGTGGAAAGGCTTTACTGAAGATTCCACCTGCTGTTTTCTGAAAAACTTTGGGAAAGCATATAAACTCATCAGAACCTTAGATTATCTTTGTCTAATGAAGAGTTTCTATGTAAATTGCATAGAACTGGGGGAATTATTTATATGCAGGTCTACTCACAAACTTCAAGTACTGAAGAGTGATTTTTAATGACAGTATTCATGTTACCTTAAATCTGTCAAGAAACAAACCAGGATATGTTTAAACCCACTATCATGGACACAGAGTTTTACAGAACATCATCTTCTAATAGGGTCAGAGACATTTCGTACATTGTTGTCTCAGATCTAGTTCTGTTAGGAAAAAAATAACATATACAATTTTGAATAAATGAAGCAGAGCACCTCCTAGATGCCTTGTAATGTGTGAGGAAATGTTATAGAGTTAAGTCACGGGGTCAAGGAGTGAGGACTGAAGTCATAGAGGAGGGGAAGCCAGGGAACAGAAGTGATAGTGGAGTGAGTCTTCAGGTCTTGAGGGCCATGAAGGCTAAGTCTGAATGCAGGTTTCAACAGGATGTCAGAGTCCAAACAGAATCTGGAACCAGTTCCACCATGCACCCATTGCCTCCAGAGTTAACAGATCACAAGCAAACACACAGAACTGAGCAAGGAAGGGCCGAGTTGGAACTGGGAAGGCGCCACCATCTCAGGTGTGCCTGGCCAATCAACTGCTTCCAGACTTTTCTAGGTTGGATTTGTTTCCCATGGACACTGTAACAACCATAGACTGAATGACTTAAAACGAAATGAATTTATTTTATCATCTGTGAATGTCAAATGTCCAAAGTTGGTCTAAGCAGGCTAAAATCATGGTGCTGGCAGAAGTGGTTCCTTCTGGAGGCTGTACATTCTTCAGCCTCACATATTTTAGAACATTTTTCTATAGCCTTACTAAAACTTTCTCTCTCTGTCTCTCTCTCTCTCTCTCTCTCTCTGTCTCTCTCTCTCTCTCTCTCTGTCTCTCTCTCTCTCTCTCTCTCTGTCTCTCTCTCTCTCTCTCTCTCTCTCTCCCTCTCTCTCTCTCTCATATATGAGAGAGAAACATCTTCCTAACCCCTACTCAGCCTCTACCATTCTACTCCATGTTTATATGAAGTTGGATTTAAAAGAATAATTCACATGAGATCATGTGGGATTTCTTTCTGTGCCTAGTTTATTTCACTTAAAATAATTATCTTCAGCTCCATCCATGCTTTTACAAGTGACAGTTAATGGTCACTTTGGCTGGTTCTATTTCTGGGCTATTATACAGAAGACTCCATTAGATAGCAGTAGAATGTTCAAATGCATGTATAATAGTCTTGAGTATACATGGGATATTATCCATCATAGAGCAGATGTTAGGCTAAAAACAAGTCTTAATACTTGAAGACTGAAATAATTTCAAATATCTTTTCTAACTACAATGGTATGCAACTAGAAAATAAATGTCAGGAGATATTCTGGAATATTAATTGTTATATGAAAATTCCAAATCCCTGTTAATTTTTTTTTAGGGGCAGATAAAACTTGGAAAAGACAAACAGGTTTAAGAAAGGAAGATTGGCTAAGGGAGTCAGAAAAAAAAGAATCCATTGCTCTTACTCAGATTCCTTCAGAAACCTCCTCGACAGATGGTCTTCCGGTCCCTTCTAACAGAAGCTGATAGTTGAGTATTTCATTTCCTATCATGAGACCTGCAAAAAATGAACACAGACTCTAAAAGGCACTGAGAAATTTCTGGCAACAGATGCTGCACTAGGTATATTTAGTAGGTGGATTTGTTTTTCATGTTTTCTTGTTAAATGTGGTGGTGGTGTTAATACCACCTGTGAGTTTCAATAACGGATACTGGCTATGCCAGTTTGACTAAAGACAGAACAAAGAATACTTAATGTGTTGCTACAGCAATGGATTCTTGTGGAAGAAGAAACCGAGAATAGATAGCAAGGTTTTCTTTCCACTACTGTATTCTCATTTGCTATGCACTCGTTTCTTTCATCCCATTGTGCCGGCCTTATTTGTTTACTGGTCATGACATGAAGCTTTAATTGCAGGGTAGCTGGCTGTGTCTACATCAAAGAGCCATAAAAACAGACCTCAGAGCAATCAGCCAGAAACTGCTTTCTGCAGTGATGGCCAGTAAAGCAAAACACAGGTGCTAAGCAATTACCTGGTGAGTAAGATCAATGTAGACAGCTAAACCAGATAATGTACTCTCTGCTCCCCAATCTTACTTTCCATTTATAGACCAGAATTGCCAGTGAAAGCTGAAAAGTTTGGCTTGAGGTTACTCTTCCTGCTTGTGTGCTGGTCAGGCCCACGCACACCCATATATCTGCCTTTGTTATATTTACTATGACACATCTCAGCATCAATGCCCAAAGGGGTCTTTTAGTCAGGAGCAGCCTAGTATTTTGAATGTAAACTATTTAGGATTTGTCAAAATTACTATTAAACATGCTTTGGTGTACATCTAAGGCATGGTTATATATGCAATAGACCATTCCATCAGAACACCTATTACAGCTAAGACCCCAAATGAATAAAAGCAGTAATGGGACCACTGGTCAGTTAGCCAGTAGCAATGGAAGTCAACTTGCTGTTATGGAATAGGTTTTTTGGTTTTTGTTTGTTTGTTTTTTTAATACTACGAAGATGTGTTGCTCTCATTGCTTTAAGAAAGAGTGAGTGGCCAATAGCTAGGCAGGAAGAGGTTAGATGGATGGGACTTGCAGACAGAGAAAAAAAAGAACATGGGGATGAAGAAGGGTAGAGTTGAGAGGAGACTTGGAGAGAAGCAAGATGAACTTGCCATGCTGAAAAAAGGTACTGCCATATGGTAGAATATAAATGAGAAATATGGGTTAATTTAAGATGTCAGAGCTAGTTAGTAACAAGCCTAAGCTCTTGACCAAACATGTATAATTAATAATAAGTCTCTGTGTAGTTATCTGGGAACTGACTGGCAGGACAGAAGAGTCTGCCTACAACTCACAGCAAACCAGGATGGTGAAACATTTAGAGAAAGAGAGCAGTGTGGAATGGGAAGACTGTTAGTGAAACAATTAATGCCTAGAGGATCAAGAAAGAAGAAAACATGAGGGGACATTGGGCAAATGACTTATAGAGGCTTGGGCTTACTGAAAGGGGAAATGGGTATTATATTCTGTTTCCTTATTAACTACTCAAAGTACTGCCTACTGCTGGGGGATGTCTTTCTGTATGCTGTGAATATATATTTTTCCCATTGGTTAATAAATAAGTTCCTTTGGCCTATGGCAAGGCAGGCAGGAAAGAGAAAAGCAGAGGCAGCAGAGACACCAGCCTGCTGCCCCAAGGAGCAACATGCCAGCAGACCGGTAACACCACAGAACACGTGGCAAAACACAGATTAATAGCAATGGGTTAATTTAAGATAGAAGAACTAGCTAGCAAGAGGCCTGCCATAGGCCATACAGTTTGTAAATAATATTAAGCCTCTGAGTGATTATTTTATAAGCAGTTGTGGGACTGTAGGGCCGGGCAGGACTGGAGAAACCCTTCCAGCTACATCCTACACTTACACTGTTACTTAAGTGGAACCTGGAGGGGAGCATCAGGGAGAATGTCATAGGACATAGACAATGTAGTTAAAGGAGCTTGTTGGGAGCACAACTGCAGGTCCTCAGTTGCACCTCACACTGGAGATAGGTAGGAGTGCAACATTCTGTTGTGGATGTCAACACTCCAACAGAGGCTATAAAATTTTAAATCAGCCAAGATATCTTTCTAGACCTCAAGTAGTGGGTAGTTGTTAGACTCAGTCATAAGCTTCTCCTTGCCACTGGGCAAGATGAAGCTCTTATATTGAAGTGATATTGAAATTCAAAGAGAAAACCAATAATATATGTATATGCCCTCATCCCAAAACTCTAAACTAAGAATAGGACTAACTCTAGGGAATTAAGCAAACACATTTGAATCAATATTTGAAATAATATAACTGGGTGTCCTCAAACACCTGAAAATAACAAAGAAAGCTTTGGACTTGGGACAACATACCTTAAGGTGTTTACTTAGCAGGCAAATGGAGTAGGAGGAGTCAATAGAACACTGAGAAGTGCTGTCCAGGTACAGTAGTTTGAATGAGAATGGCACCCATGGGTTCATATGTTTGTTCCCAGTTGGTAGAACCATTTGGAAAGTATTAGGAAGGGTGAACTTGTTGGAGGAGGTGTGTCATTGCAGATGACTTTGAGGTTTCAAAAGCCCATACCAGGCCCAGTCTCATTCACTTTCTCTCTCCTGTTGGTTAATCAGATGTAAGCTCATGGCTACTGTTCCAGCACAATGCCTACCTTCCACCACACTTTCCACCATGATGGTCATGGACTAACCCTCTGAAACTGTAAGCAAGATGCCAAATAAATGCTTTCTGTTATAAGTTGCCTTGGTTATGGTGTCTCTTCATAGCAATAGAACAACAACTAAGATATCAATGTTCTCCGGAAAAATGATATAGGTGTGTACAAATTTAATACTATATGATCAAATATATATGTATATATCATCTAAAGTATACATTTGTGTGTCACATCTAAATGTCACAAAACATTTAGACTAGTGTGTGACTAAAGTCAAGCTGACATAAAATTAAGCATAAGAGTTATATTGGAAAAACAAAGATACCTTAAAATCAACCTTTGAGCTGTGATTACTTTATAAACTAGTCATACATCTGCAATGAGAAGTAAGAAAATGAAAAGACTCAAAATATCATCTCTTTTGAGTTGTTCCCATTAGTTGTGCTTATTAGCACATATAGTTTGTCTATTTGTATATTCATGAAACAAAAAGTATAACCAATAATTATATTTTTTTCATGTGACTATCTCCTTAAGAAACGTGAAGCTACAGGAAACTGTGGCAATACAGAAACTCTTAGTTGTTTTGTGGTTCCATGAGCACAACTGAACACACTTGGATGTAGGGTAAAGCACCAGGAGTGGGGGAATAGGTTGCTACAGGTCACTGCAAACCTAGAAATTTTGTGATGGAGATGGTGATGGTGATGATGGCGGCGGTGGTGGTGGTGGTGGTGGTGGTGGTGAGGATGGGATGAGGAGGAGGAAAGAGAATGGGAAGAAGAAAGGACGTAGAGGAAACAGCAACAACAGACTGGCAAACAATAATAAGAAAAGACTACTTGAATGAACTCAGATGCAGTAGGTTTTCAATAATGAATAAAGAGCTCCAAATAGCAGCAGACTTTTAATTCTAATACTGAGAGAAAAACACCTAATTAAATAGTGGACATATTTTTAGGACTCCAGTGTATCTATGAGGACAGCAGTATATGAGAGCACAGGCACGTGTGTGTGTGTGTGTGTGTGTGTGTGTGTGTGTGTGTGTGTGTGTGTGTGTGCAGCTGAGAAAAAGAAGCACAGCTGACAGGGTAGTCAGATAGCTGCTGTAAGCTGGTAGCCTGCCTCTTAGGAACTTAGACTGAGACACCCTTTATAAGCACTCTTGCCAGTAAAAGCTTTAGTGATCACCTGCCTGTCTATCATCTTTATAACCACCAATGTCCAAGTGCCCTCCCATTCTATGTGAATATAATATCTTCTTTGTTCATAGGCTTCAGTAACTATTGAAAAAACGGTTACTTGCAAAGCAGTCCCTATATCTGTAGATCCCAGAGGCCAAATTTAGTGAACTGTTAAATAATTCCTAAATTTATCTATCACATGGGAGAATGAACACGTTATTTCTTTAAATCAAAGACCATTCCACAAGGAGGCTGTGTCAAAATTGTCTTTTCTCAATGTACTTTCACCAAAGCATACCATTACTCTTTCATTCCAAAATCATTCTGGAGCTTCTATTATGCAGCTAACTAAATCATTAAGCAGATAGCAACAACAGAACATAAAGCAGACTCATAACTGATTCAATTAAAGCAGTATTTAAAATATATTTCATATTTAAAACCAAACATTCAGAGATGTATCACCAGTAACATTGTCTGACCACCTCTTTTTTGTATTGGGTAAGTAATAAAAAGAATTTCAGGTTTTGTCTTCCTAGAGAAAAGTTCAGATGAGTTGCAAATATCTTGTAGGTATTGATTAACTTCTTGTACCTATGCTTCATTGAGAATAAAATCAGTAAGATTTAATGAGTGTGTGTGTGTGTGTCTGTCTGTCTGTGTCTGTGTATATGTAAACCATTCATGGGTGTGTAAACCATCTGTGTGCAGGTGCCTGCTGAAGCCAGTAGTGGAAATCAGATTTTCTGGAGGTAGAGTTGCAGATAGTTGTGAGATGCCCAATATGGGGTAAGAATCCAACTCAGGTTCTCGGGGAAGAGAAGCAAATGAGCCATCTTTCCTGTTCCAATTGTGAAGAAAATTTGTTGGGGTGAGGAAGAGGCACAAAAGATGACAGAAAAGTGAGCTCAGAGAAAGGACTTAAAATCTTGTTTGAAGTGAGTATCCCACCATGCCACGCATATACAGTAACAGGATAAAGAATGACATGTAAACCACAAGAACAGTGGGAGTTTGAAGAGAAAGATTGTGGTAGTTTGAGTGAAAACAGCCTCCATGGGCTCATATATCTGAAAGTTTGGTCCTCACTTGGTAGAAGTGTCCAACTTGTACATAAGGATGGAAGCTCTCAGCTATGGCTCCAGTATCACGCCTGTCTGCCATGAC